GCGACTGTGGCCTCACTTTTCACAAACAAGTTTGCACTTATGAGACAGTTTTGTTCACATCTCAAGCTTAAACTGTCTGATTTACAAGTTTGCACTTTGTGTTTAATGTGACAAGAAAAAGTAAAATATATGAGTATTTTGAAACACAGTTGAACCACTTTCATTATTTTACAAGCAGATCGAATCGAAATTAATTGATTTAGAACTGTATTAATCAAAATCGAATCGATTTAGTACTTTGGCAAAAATACCAAGCCCTAGTTGTGACATTTAACTAAGTATGAAGTGTGATATGAGGGGGGAGTGGTGGTCTAGTGGTTAGGGCATAGCTTGGAATCCAGAGGTTCTGAGTTTAAGCTCTACTCCCACAGACTGCCACTCTGGGTCCCTGAGCAAGACCCTTAACCCCACTCTGCTTCAAGGGCGCCGAACAATGGCAGCCCACTGCCCCCCAAGGGGATGGGTTAAATGCACAGAGTTCATTTTGATGCTCTGTACTTGTGACAGTGTAAAGACAATAAAAGCTGGGGGAAAAAGTGAGCGATGAAAGCAAAAGTCTAAATAAAGTTGATTCCGACTACTATTTAGTAGCCTAGCATTTCTGTTTAATATTTAATTCTTCTTAATGAATTTATATAATTTTAAACTACATCTTTAAAGGGGTAAAATGAGGGGGAATGCCAATCCTAAGTGTTGCAAACTTTTCTCTGATTTAACTTGACTTCTACATTTTGATGATAAACAGTTTGCTTTGTTATTATTTTGCTGCTATATAAACTGACCAGACTTTGTGTTTGATCACCACAGGTTGTTGATGCATCACATCAGAGATTGTCTTCCTGAGCTGAAGACCAGGATCAACGTGCTTGCGGCCCAGTACCAGTCCTTACTGAACAGCTACGGGGAACCTGTTGAGGAAAAGAGCTCCACCTTGCTGCAGCTCATCACCAAGTTTGCTGCAGAGTATTGTAACACTATAGAAGGCACAGCCAAATATATTGAGACAGCAGAGCTGTAAGTTGCACAGGTCTCTGAGCTGTATCCTCTGTGACTTTAGACATTTAACTGAATACATGTTTTACTGCTTTTTAACATTTGAAAATGTTTTTTTTTTTTCAGATGTGGTGGAGCAAGAATCTGTTATATTTTCCACGAGACGTTCGGCCGTACTTTAGAGTCTGTGGATCCTCTGGGTGGCCTGACGACCATCGACGTGCTGACGGCAATCAGAAATGCAACGGTTAGTTACTCTACATTTTTCTGTAAGTCCTTATCCTACCTGGTAGCTTTAGGATGGATTACAGTTTGGATTTCACTGACAGGGCCCAAGGCCTGCCTTGTTCGTGCCGGAGGTTTCATTTGAGCTGCTGGTAAAGCGACAAATCAAACGGCTGGAGGAACCCAGTCTGCGCTGTGTCGAGTTGGTTCATGAAGAGATGCAGAGAATCATCCAACACTGCAGTAATTACAGCACTCAGGTGAGAGATACTCATGAGCAGAAAAAAACCCAACAAAGCAAACATTGATGCTAAATATCCCGGCTTTTCTTTCTGCAGGAGTTATTGAGGTTTCCAAAACTTCATGATGCCATAGTGGAGGTGGTCACCTCCCTCCTCAGAAGGAGACTTCCAGTCACAAATGATATGGTTAGAGCGTTGCTTTAGCTAACGCCAGTTATCTTTCTGTTGAACATTTAAAATCCGATCAGATTGATTTCTGTATTCTGCTTCTCTGCAGGTTCATAACCTGGTTGCCATTGAGCTGGCCTACATCAACACCAAACACCCTGACTTTGCAGATGCCATTGGCCTCATGAACAATAATATAGATGTAAAAATTTGTCTTTTGTTCATTTAATCCTTAACGCTGTTGAAAGCATGGCGTTGCTTCATTTTTTTGTAATGTCATAACCTCTTTTAGGAGCAGAGACGCAGCAGAATGAGAGACTTGCCCCCCTCCGTACCCAGAGATAAGGTAGCCTCTGCTTTTGTGAGATTCTCACTGCTGCTGTTTTACTTTCTAAAGCCTCAACAAGACTGTCATTTATGCAGTTTACCGTTCTTTTACTGAAGCTTTTAACAGTTTCTGAATTTAAATCTATAGTAATATTTTAAACAATTCAGCTTCTGTACCTCATAAACAGCTGTTTTTAGCTTCAGCTTGTGTTTCTATTCACTCTTTTCTGCTCCTTGTTTAATTTTAGTCCTTTAAAAGCCCTTCTGGGCATTCTGTTTGGATGGTGAGGCAGTTAAGGTCTCTCACTTTCTGTTGCTATCTGCAAACTCTGCATCTGGCTTCCTCTAACTTATAAGCTTTGTTTTCAAATGCATGCAGCCATTACTAATAGTCGATAGTGAATTTAGGTATTGAGTGCATTGGGTTTTAGAAGAGGTTTTAATATGAAGTCAGAATTCTGCCGGGGCAGGTGCGTAATAAATACTAATGCAAGCAGTTTGATTTAAATCATGCCACATACTCTCCTCTCCACCTGCATTATGTAAATGTTTTCCATTCTTTATGAGTGTAGATTCAATAATAATAATATTATGTAACAGGCATGAGTGCTCACTACTCATCTGCGCTCGTTGCCTGCTTTTTATGCACCTGTAGATTCTCTCCCACTCATGTGATGATCTGGTTCTTATTGTATTCTTTTTTCAACATTTTGGCTAGTATATGGTAGAAAAAATATATTATTTGCTCAATTATTAGCAGATTAAAAAGAAAAAGCATGGAGTGCATTTGTCATCACTCCTTCAGTCAATTTTGATGTCTTTTATTGAAATCCAGTACAGCTAAAATGAACGGTGAAAATAGGGTTTGCCTCTATGTGAAAGCGTAACACAGTGATTCCCTAAATGCTTAAAAGCATTTTTGGAAAACTTATATTTTACTTTACCTTTTACATCACCAAAACACAAGAATTACACAGAATATGTCAGGAGGAAAGACGTGAAATGCAGCATTATGTTTTGTAAAAAAAAAACTCTAACCTTTAGACTCTTACGGCGTGTGGGGAAGCAGCACGTTAATCAGAGAAATAAGTATGAGGCTTCTGGAGGAGTAATGGAAAATCAGTGAAAGGACTGCTGTTGGTGTTACACACCACAATTCTGGCTAAATCTATTAATCTGTTGATTATTTTTTCGATTCACTGATTAATATTCAGATAGCCAAAGGTTTCTTAAAGAAGACTTTTTATTAAATTAAGGTGAAATTAAAACTTTTCCGCTGGAGAAGTTCTTGATGGAGCACATTGACAGATGGAAAGAAATTTTTTTTTTAATCTTCAATGCTAAATATTTACATATTTACGTTTACATTTTTGGTATAGCTACTGCTCTAAGTGGGTTGCTCTGTCAGCTAAAGGCATGTTTTACTGTCTCTATACTCCAGATAACGATTAATCGATTACTAAATTGGCAAATAATTTTTGCAGCCATAGTTTCAATTTTGCCACAAGTCATGTAGGAGAGACTGCAAGCAGGAGAGGCTCATATAGTCAGATGGAGTAAACTTTCTAGCCTACCGGCAAAATATTGTCAGAAAACTAAGATTGGAGCTGCAGAGATCCTTTTCTTTTTTAAGAAACAGAGCCGAGAGAATGGGAACTGGAAGAGTGGCGGCCTAGTGGTTAGAGCATAGAGCTTGGAATCCTGAGGTTGTGAGTCAAAACCCACTCCCAGAGACTGCCACTCTGGGTCCCTGAGCAAAAGACCGTTAACCTCACACTGCTCCCCGGGCACCGCAAATGGCAGCCCACTGCTCCCCAAGGGGAGGGTTAAATGCAGAGAGTGAATTTCGTTGCACTGTACTTGCGACAGTGTAATGACAAAAAAACGCTGGAAAAAGAAAGACCGATCAAAAGTGTTTTAAGTAAAAGACTAAAAAAGTTGTCGAAATTTTATTAATTAATTAAAACCATAATGTTTTCTTTTTGTTTTCTTTACAACATAAAATCCAAATCCAATGTTTTAAAGTTGTAACTTGGCAAGAAGTTAAGTTACCTTAAAGTTTGCAAGACATCCTTAGTTCTGTCATTTAATCAACAATCAGAATGTCAGAATGCATGGAAATGACGGGGAAACATATTGGCTAGAATAGTAAAGGCTTGACTCTTGCTTCTTCATATACAGTCTATCTTGTTGGGTTTTTCTGCTAGTATATTTTGAGTAGATTTTTTTAGGAGAACTTATTGCATGCTAGAGTTTGATCATAATCTATTATTTTCCCTACCCCAAAATTTAAGTGAGACTTTAATTCCTTAAAAAAAGTTCTTCTCTTCTGTGTTCTTATACTAGGCAGCAGCGAGTAGCGTCCCTGTTACAGAGCAAGGAGACGGTGGGACAGGCAGCTGGAGGGGCATGTTAAAGAAAGGAGAGGACTTTCTACCAGGTGACAGGACAACACTCCAACCTCTGCCCTCAGCAAGCCCCATGAGGGGTCATGCTGTCAACCTGCTGGATGTTGTAAGTGGTCTGATTAAAATACATTGACATTTTTTTTTTTTTTTTTAAATACGTATTTTTATAGCATGAAATATGAATGCTTATATCATTGCTGATTAAGAAGCAACCTTAAATGGGCGAATCTGCTGTAAGAAATGTTTGTTCTTTCTTAAATATTAGTTTCTTTTTTTATCTTGTGAAAAAAGCTCTAATGGAATCAAAAGAAAGGTTCATGATTCACCTTGTGTACAATTATAACCAAGATTCTGATCTGCTGATCTGATTTATGTTGTTGCACACTGCTATCACTTGGGGGCAGTCTCATTGTGTCTGCAAGCAGGTTGCAATTTATTTCACCTTTTAAACACACGTTGTTTTGTTATTTTATTTAAACCTTTTTTCGGTTAAGCTCAGCTCCAGGTTGAAGAAGCTAATTTAATTTCTTCTGTCACCAGCCGGTACCAGTATCCAGAAAGCTATCTGCTCGTGAACAAAGAGACTGTGAGGTCATCGAGAGACTCATCAAGTCATACTTCCTGATTGTTCGGAAGAATATCCAAGACAGGTACAGAGTTGTATTTTTTGTTTATTATATTTACCCTCTTTCCAAAATAAATTGGTGCCAAAAACTGACATTTATACTTACTTCCTGAGGTGTGTTATTATCTGAACTCAGTGTACCAAAGGCAGTGATGCACTTCCTGGTGAACCACGTGAAGGACTGCCTGCAGAGCGAGCTGGTGGGTCAGTTATATAAGACGGCCCTGCTGAACGACCTGCTGACAGAGTCTGAGGACATGGCTCAGAGACGTAACGAGGCCGCCGACATGTTAAAGGTGACACATTCTCTACATGTCGCTACAAAGTGCTAAAACCAAAGTCACGGCCACTGATTCAGTGACACTAAATGTACATTTCAGGAATAGTACCTGATCCCCCAGGGATGAAAAGCTTAGTATGTTTTTTTTTTTCAAAGGTATCATTAAAGAGCTGCCTACAGGTCCAAAGTCTTCTTATCATGTAAAAGTAAATTAATTATTTTGTAGGGTTCTGGAGTCCAAGCACTTGAGATCTAAAGTCACTGAAGTTTTTGTGGCTGACATGTCATCTGCTGGTGTTGTTCTACCAGGTTTAATGAAGTCAAAAGTCAAAGCAGCTGTCTTTATGGAAAATCTTAACACTTAATGAGTCTTCTGTGCTGACAAGCTTTATGAAGATCCAATTTAAATCCCTGATGCTGTGGAACAGAGATGCAGCAATTTACACTATATTGATAAATATAGTTACTAATTTCAAAATTCTTCTCAGTGATTGAATGTTTGGGTTTTCATTGAATGTCAGCAGTAATCCTTTGCCTTACACCTTCTGTCTTGTTCTCCAGGCTTTGCAGAAAGCCAGCCAGGTGATTGCAGAGATTAGAGAGACCCACATGTGGTGAGCAGCAACCGTCTTCAGCCTCCTAGCTACAAAGCATCCGTCTCCTGATGCTGCATCTCAGCTATCTGGCCACTTGGAAATGCACTGACATGGAAAAATGTATTACCAGTATAAAATTATGATGTACAGAACAGCGAGGACTGTCTATTAATAGGGGATGGTATTATTGCAGTCCCAAATGATATTTTCTTAAAGGTAATTAAAAGCAGAAATATGTATAATGTTATGTCACCACTGTGTGGAGCCTTGCTTAAAAACATCTGCTATTATTTTAGATTGAAATAAAAGCTATAAATCATTAAACAGTAATAAAGATATCAATCTTTTCTTTATTAGAAGTTGCCATAATATTCTTCTTTCATTTTACATTCATTTGTTGGTTAATAATGTTATTTTTGTAGAACATAGAAACAAAAACATTTGATGATCACTTTTTTTCTTTAAGTATTATTCTGACAATGTTGGACAAATGAGATATTAATGGTTTATAGAGAGACATCAGAGTGGATGAAGTGACTTATTTATTCTTTTGATTTCATGATGGTTGACATTTACTCCCAAGACAACAAGAAAATAAACAGAACCCCAAGTATTTGATCAGTTCATCTACTGGGATTCCTGGATTCGCTCTCGCTGCAGCTTTACCTCAGCCGTCCGCCCATCTTGCCCTTACCGCGGCCTTTGGCACTGAAACATGCAGGGAAAATCTTTAAGCACTCAGAACATCATTATGCTGGGAGTATTTAGTTTGTATCATGTTATAGTAAAAGCACTCATTTTAATCAGTGTTAAGCCAGACTGGATTTTCTGTCATGGCTGAGATGAAAACATAAGTATGTATTGTTTTGCCTTTATGATATTAATCCTTTAACATGCCCTCTTTCTTTTGATTTTACCGGGTAATGTCATATTTTATGTTGGGTCAAACTTCTTAAATGCAATAGATTATTTCTCTCCATCGTACAGATAAACATTCTGTTGGTGTTTAAACTCAAATCCTCAACTTTGGTATCTTTTTCCAAATGGAGAAAATGATCCCCTGTGGGCTTTCATCCAGACTGGCAATTTGGAAATGTTTAAAAAGGTTCAGAATATATATTTTTAGTATTTACTGCATTTGGATAATTGCAAACACAAATTAAAGCTTTGTTTATTACATTGTTATAAAGGAGACTGTTATAGCAGTAATTTATAAAAGTCCAGATAGAATTGTAATCTATTTTCTTCCAGTTACAGTCAAAATCTTTCCTGACAAAACATAACAAACCTAAACGCTACAAGGACTGGAACCAAATGCTTCGATCAGATAAGGTTCAGCTTTTTTTCTGAAAAACCTTTCAGATGGACTGGATTAAAATATATATAGATAGAAACCTCATCTTCACTGCTATATTTACTGGCAGATCAGTCATGCTGTGGGTCTGTTTTTTTTCCAACTTCACATCCAGTGGTAAACCTTGTTAAGACTGGCTGGAATCTTAACGTCTTAGGAATACTAAAATATTTGTGACTGTCAGTTCCTTAATTATCTAAATGTGGATAAATGATACTGAATTGACACAGAATTAGCCTTCTTTCAAGACTGCCTCTGTCTTAGGAGCTAGATCACAGAAAATATGAGGGGTAACACCGAGAGGTGGAGCAAAAGGTGCAGAGACTCGTCTATGAAGTTCTACAAAGTATCAACAGCAGGAGTACCAAGTAGTTTGGCACCAGTTTTTGATTAAAAGCAAACATTTAGTTGTTAATGAGATTCTCCCTACTGAGTCAATGCACTAAAACTGAAAGCCTGTCTATTTATTTAGTTGAACTCACCTCTGGTGGTCTTGAACTCGGCAGAGAAGCTGATTAATCTGCAAAGAAGGAAATGTTAAATATCCACAGGGTGCAGAAAATCCTTAAGGTAAAGAAAGGGGGTTTCCTTTCGAGGCTAGAATAGCCTCAATATTACCTGACTTTGACACATAAGCAATACCTTGAATTGTGACTAAAATGTGAAGAAGATACCTTTGATTATCCAGACTTACATCATATTTCTGTCTTCTAAGTTTCTCACTGAGATCAAACTTCTCAGACTCCAAGCCTCTGAGCGAATCCCACAGCTCCTTGGCCTTCTCCCTAAACACAGACAAGTCTCATCAAAATGACGTTTAACATCAGGATCTCCATTGGTATTAGAACTAGACCGATGTTATGGGAGCTTGAGCCATACTTAAGTTTGTCCTCATTCATATGATCAACAGTGAGAGGCTTCCTGCGCTCAGCCAGGATCTTCTTCTTCTTCTCCCTCTCAGTTTGCTTCTTCCCTCCTTTCCTGGTGTCACTCTGTTTATCAGATAAAAAGCAAACAAGTGGGTTTCCTTTTGTTAATTACTTACAATGTACTGGGGATTAAAACACATATACAGGTATTGCAAATTTAGACAGAATAATAATGGCTGGGTTTAATAAAAATAAAAGAAACCTTGCTTTATTTTTTTTTACATAAATTATGATATACTTAACAAATAAAAACAAATGTGATACCCTTTTTCCACCAATGCTGAAGATAGGTACCAACCCCACTGCGACGTGGAAGTGGAATGATGGATAAATGTATGTATGGATAGAATATATATTTGAAATAAATCTGAAGATAGCTTTTAACTAAAAGATAATAAAACGTTGAAATGCAGAGTTTAACCCTAAAATTTATTATGTGCTAAAATCATTACTAATAACTTCAGTATTTGATTATTTAGTGTTTTTGCAGCAGTCGATCTAATAAATTACACGTTGATTTTGGTTTGTAGAAATTAATTTAGGAACCTGTACAGGTACTCAACTGCAGACCAATCAGCTTTGTCTATAGCAGCATAAGCCCCGCCCACTGACTCTGGTTAGGCTCATCAAGATATTCACCATATGCCAACACTGCACTGTCTTGACGTATCAGATATATAAATAAAAAAAAATCCATATTTTTTGAAATTATTAAACATTTTCCTTTCAAGAGTTTCAATGTTTTTTGTTTTTCAAATAAGAAACGACTTATTTACTGATTAAGTTTTATACTCTGGGGCTTTTTACTTTCCATGCCTTCAATTTTTTGGATTAGGAGACATTTAATGTGACAGGAGATATTGTTAAAGTTAGGATCTATGCATTTCTATTAAGACTGCAGTGGTTTTTGTAGGTCTCTATCTTCATTTAGGACTAGATGTTGGAGAATAAACCAATTAAAGCCCAAATGTAGACCTTTTGTCCAGAGCCGTACTGCTGACTCATGTTTGAGAGGGCTTTCTTCTTCTTGGCATCATCATCCTGCTTTTTACGTTGTTCCTCTTGCTCCTTGCGCTCCTTCTCCTCCTGCAGGAAGGAAATAAGAAATCTTCATACGGTTAGGTACTATCAGAGCAAAAGATAAGGTGAGAACATATGCATATACAGTAAACCTTACAGCAAGTCTGGCCTGCCTCTCCTTCTCCCTCTCTGCCCTGATTCTCTGCTGCTCGGCTCTCTCAGTACGACGTTTCTCCTTAAAAATCCACCACAAACACACAAAACATTTACATTCACAGCTTATTTTAGAGTCTCGTCAGATAAACTGAACTCCTCTAAATCAGAAACGCTCACGATTCTGTTAACAAGGGCGATGAGCTCCTCTTCCTCTTTCTTCCTCTGGACAAAGTGAGCCTCAATCAAGGCCTGCAGCTCAGCCAGATCTTTCTCCTGTCGCTTTCTGTAGATGTCCTGACAGCAGAAATGGAACAAAGGCCATTAGAAGATCTAATAAGATTAAACAGAGTATAATATGAAAGAGATTAACTAACATCAAAGTCCACTTTTTCCCCATCGGGCATCTTGGGGGCCGCTATGTTTGTCATAAACCTGCAGAAGGCAAGAGTGTGTTTTTAATGAACGTATTCGGATGGAAATGGGAAGTCAGACATTGGAATTGAGAAAAGCTGAACACTTACTTGGGTTTGGGTTTGGATTCATCTGAGGGAGGGAAATATTTTTGTCATTAACACAAATATGCTTTTTAAACCACAATATAGATATATTTAACAATCATTGTGTATTCAGATAGATTAAAATCACAGATGCATTTTTATGGTTGTTTGATTTGCCAACAGAATGATGCATTCTGTGTTAAATCCTGAGAAACTGCAGAGATTCACATCTCAGAATCAGCCTGTTGCTTTGCGTCAGGGAGAAACACAAAACATCACCCTAGAGACTACATATCCACTGACATATATGGCAGTGTTATGCTGTGGGGGACGCTTTCCTACAGCAGAGACAGAAAAGCAAGTCAGAGTTGGAGTCGAGGTGGACAGAACTTTAAACATCATTCTAGGAGACATCATTGTACTAATAGTAGAACTTGTGTTTTTTCCTTTTCTTTTTTAAAGCTGTTTTCCAACCATCAAGACTCTGAAAATGGAGTAAGCCACTTAGGTTTTGTCCATCAAACTACAGTACCACAGCTCAACTAATACCATTTATATCGGTGGCCGATCTCTCAGGTCAGCTGATCAGCTGCTCCTGACAGTGCCTAAAGTAAGGCTTAAGCTCAGAGGGGATCGAGCGTTTTCTGTTGCAGCTCCAAAACTTTGGAATGGATTACCGCTGCACATTAGACAGGCCACCTCTCCTTCTCATTTGAAAACTCTTCTTAAAACCCACCTCTTTTCTTTGGCTTTTGACACCATGTAGAGTGTTGATTTTATGTATACACATGTTGATTTTATGTATACACATGCATATTTTTATCCTGTGCGGGCAGTGCTTTTATTTTATTTTATTTACTTTTATTTATTTTAGTTATTTTATCTTTTTTCTGCAGCACTTTTGAAACCTGTTTATTTAAATCGTGCTATATGAATAAAGTGGATTGGATTGGCCTCTAAAGTAAGTCCCCATGGGTCTGTATCCTGCACGTTTACCCTGATTCAACATGCCTGAATCGAATGTGCAGCTCAATAGCAGGTGCTGCAGCTCTAGGTGAGATGGCTATTTTCTTATTCAACTGTTTCATTGTGAGGATCAATCTAGATCTGCAGGCAAACACCGCTTTTGGATATCCTGCATCTTTTCACCCTCATGCTTTAATATTGATCAAAGATGCTACCGAATACCCACAACACAATTGCTATATATATATTTTTATAATATATTTTCATGTTCATTATTCATGATTTTTTACAGTAATATCACTTAGGAAATAGTATTAATATTTCAAAAATATCAAATATTTTTCAATTCTTTTGTTTTTACATTTAAGCTAAAAATTGTTTCTATCTAATAAGATTATGTAAATTTGCTACCAGAAAAAGGCAGCTTAGCAGAATTATTGACTGAAGAAATAGATTTGTTAAGAAATAGTTAGTGTTAAAACTAGATTTTTATTACACTTTACAATTATTCCTATGCATCGGTCTTTAGGTAAAATATAGATAGATTATATTGCATTTGTGTTTATGATGAGAACATTTGTGAAAAAACTAAAGCAGTATGAATACTTTGAAAAAAATAAAATCAGAGCTGCCAGTGGACCTAACAAACTGTTCTAGAAAATTCAGCAAAAAAATGGGAAACCTTTCAGCTTTCGAGTAATCTCGGCTATTCATACCAATCCCTGAATTTAGATGAAAGCACCATGAGTAAAATGTACAAAATTATTTAAGCCCCAGTATGGCTTCCTTTCCAACAGCTGCAGCAGCTGAAGTTATAATAAAGGTTGATCTTCTGTGATCCTTCCTAAAATCTCAATTTATGTTTTAGAATAAAGAAAAAAAGAATCTGCATTTGGCATGAACTAAAAGACGATTATTGATTCTACATGTTACATAAAAAATCTTTGTGGCTCCGTACACAAATAAAATTAAAAGTAGGAAATGCAGATAAACTCAAAGCATTCTTACCTTCTCCCTCTCTTCAGAATGAGAGAAAGACACAACACATACAAAAACAGAAAAACATAAAAGGTATTAGATATACTTTGCAATTATTAAATGGATATTTTAATGTTGAGAGAACTGATAACATACTGAGCCTCCTCGGCCGCTACTTCCTCTGTGTCCGACATTTGGTTCAGGTTGAGCTCTGCAAAATGGACTCCCATCAGACTATATTTACACCAGCAAATATTTCTGATCATTAACCAACACAACAGAGCTGGCAACAGCTCACAGAGAACTGGATGTTTGCTTTGGACTAAATATCAAAGGGGTGTTAAAAGAAAAAGGATTATAAAAACCATGACAGCTGAAAAGCATACATGTCTCTAAAAAAAAACGATAAATTACAAAGATGATTTAGTGTTAAAACAATGAAAACAATGGTAAGCTACGGGTTAGATGCAGTGTTAATACACATTAATTTTTACCTGAAACAAATTTTTAATTAAATATGTTTGTTTTCTTTAAATGCCAACAAAAAATAATAAAAGAGAAAATCAATGTGACTCTAAGAGAATTCAGCAGGGAGAATAAATCGCTTTAAAATTTCTTATTAGGGTCTCAAACTATAGAATTAAAATGCTTTGAATAATTGAATTCACGATTACTAAGAAAGAACAAAAAAACAACAAACTTTTCTATTGTTCTATTAACCTGCTGATCATTCTTACCTGTGACCCAGACAGAGAGAGGTCAGAGATGAGCAACTTCAGACTTCAGCTCCTTGAGCTTCACCAGTAGGCCGAGCATCAAGGAGACCCGGACCAACCCTTCCTAGTCATGTGACTTCAGCACCCTATGGCTAACCAGTCTATTGTTAGGAAGCTGGACATCAGACGACTGTTTCACTCACACTCTAACACACATTCTGCAGGTATATTCCTGCTCTGTTAAAATATCATGCAGCCACTGAAACTTTCAGCACCTCCTTATGTTTCAACAAGCTGTAACTCCACAAGGTTTCTTCTTGGTGCTAAAAAGTGATTCCACACAGCCAAAGCTTTTTTTTTTTCTCTCTTTTATTTATTTATTGCTCAACCCAATATAAATCAAACAAGGCAATCAACAAAAACGTGAAGTAGTCCAGATGCAACTACTGTAATGAGCACTGCTGACATTCAGTGTGAATTTGAACTTAATTACAGGCTTGAGAAAATGACAAGAGGTTATTAAGTGAAAAAGATCATACTATCGTAGATCCATAGATATGCATCTTATTACAGACTGAGTCAAGGTAGAGCATAAGGTAGGATGTGAGGATAGCAGAAAACTTTCACTGGAAAAAAACGATCTAGAAATAAGTAAAAATCTCTAAATTACCCTTAATTTGAGTAGGTAAATGAGATTGCTTGCCACTGGAATTAGTATTTTTACTCTTAAAATAAGATAATAAGCAGTTGAAATTAGACAATGCAATTGTATTTACTTATTTTAAGACTAAATTCTCTTGTTCCATTGGCAAAATGTCCCTTTTACCTCCTCAATCCAAGAACAAATGAACTTATTTTAAGAAAAAATGATTTATCTAGATTTTGTTTTTCCAGTGTAGGGTGGATGTTGTGTTGCTATCTGCACAAAAAGTGGAGCGCTTTGTACAACCAGTCCAAAAAGTCAGTTCATTGAGTTTGAAGTTGTTCTTCCTTTAAAATAAAAACTGATCTCTTCTAAAGCGGAAATTGTTTGTTAAAGGTCAACAAACTCATTGGTTAACAAACTAAGTAGTAAGAACAGAAACTTCAAAGCACTGATGACCTCTAACTGATCAAAAATGCATGATAGTAAAGTTAAATTATGTACAGGATGTTTTCTCATTATTCAGATGACAGGTGGCGTCTCCAGAATAAGTTTCATAGTCAAGTTAAAAGAGTTAAGACTGATCAAACATTGGTCTGTGTCTGCTATTAAGGCACAATGTGTTTTACTCTATGGCTGAAAATATTCCTGCCTGCAAAAAACAGTAAATACTATAAAGCAGTATACAGCGGGCTGCAACACTGACAGTCTGACAAGACGACAAGGTAAAAAAAGCTTTTCATCACATTGTTCCTCTATAAAGGGTGGAATAACACAAACATCTAATACTGTGTGCAATAATAAAAATAACTAAATCTAGCAGGTGCTTTATTCTGTTTAAAATAATCTTTTCTATTCCACATTTAACAGGACATGTGTCCCAGACACTGCTGCTATAAAAGTATCACTAAACCTGTTAATAATAGGTTTATATTCTCCTTTAATATTTTTGGTTTGAAATATGAATCTTTGGTGGTTTCACTCAACGTCACAGAGTTAAAAAATTACCAAAGCATTAGAAGCAATGTTGTTACCATCTGAAGCAAATTAACATGAAATTACGGAGCCCCTAAAGGGACATGGAGGGGGAAAAAAGATCTTTTACGAGATCCCGTAAAACTTTTGCGACATCCCGCAAAAAATAAACTTTTGCGAGATCCCGCAATACTTTTGTAGGAACTCTCAAAAGTATTGCGGGATCTCGCAAAAGTTCTTTTTTCCCCCTCCATGTCACTTTAGGGGCTCCGTATGAAATTGAACATCTGGAAATGATCCCAAACTTTTTTTGTTTTATATTAAACACTGAAAGAATGAGCAAAATGTAACACCAATTTATGTTAAGTAACAGATATGTGAATTTTTTCTTTGTTTCTTTTCTTTTTTCAACATATTTTTTTTGTTTGTTTTTTTAGATATTATTATGTTCGCTGAGAAGAGCCTGAATGTGGAAACATGGGGAGCAGGGCCAGTCTAAGGCTGCATGGGTCCCTGGGCAGAATTTCATTGGGGGCCTTTAAACTCTGATCATGCGCCACACCTCTACCAATATACTGTTTATATCATCCATGCTCAAACATTTATGCAGATTTTTTTTCAAAAAAACAAATAATTTCAAAGTTTTAACTCCTTACTTTTGACTGACTGACTAATATAAAGCATAGAAATGTGACATAAAAGAAACTGAATCATTTAAAAATATGCAGCCAACAAATATTTTCTTCACTGTCTCACTGACTTGATTTTAAAACTTGAGCCAAACCAAATTTTGCATAGCATAGTTACCTCTGTTATTTCCAATATACAACAAAAGAATTACTATCAAGATGGGTTTATAGATAATAATTTAGTTAACCCGCCCTGTGTCATCGTTATAGCACTATTGGAACCGTCTGTTGGTCTGTAGGCAATTAGAGGTTGCTTAAATCACTTATTTTTTTTGTCGACTAATCATTGTTCAGATGCATTTTAGTTATCGTAATTGTATATTTTAATCGTAACACTTTTACATTGGATTATAATCGATTTAATAAATGTTTATAAGTCTTATCCAACAGCCATGGAGATCCAGATTTAAATAAAATCAGGTGTAATCTTTTTAGCTTTTCGGTTAGCGTTGAAGGTGATCCAACATATAGCAGTACAGGGTGTATCATTCAACAGAGAGCAGATGGGTAGCTGTTGCTGAAGATGAGCAGCTGAGATCCTCTGTTTTCATTGTGCTGGGAGCTTGAAGTGCTGTGAAGGGTAAAGGGGCACGAAGGAGAGCAGAAACCTTTTCCGTCAGGAAGCAACTTTACCATGAAGTCATTGGTTGTTGTTTTTTTAAGCCTGCAAAGAGGAAGACATCAGCTCTATTAGTCAGTGCATCTGTCAAAGTTGCTATGTATAGATTCTAAAGGTTTAGTAGGTGTGAAGCAGCATTAGTGTCAAGGTTATTAATCAAAACCTTTACATCTCTTTTCCTTTAGTAAAATCTATAATCTGTGCTTTTTAGGCACCTTATAAAATCAATAAAAGCGTCTTTGTGGCTGAACCTCGATCATTTGCCCTTCACTTCGTACCTCAGCTGTCCATTTCTCATGAAAACACTGGGAGGGACAAACAAGGATCGCTATTTATGGCTGAAGCTGACATCTGACAAACGGTTCTCCGTTTACAGGACATCCAGAAAGTATTCACTCCACATATAAGTCACATATAAATAAATATTTGCAGCCTTTTTCTCAATACTTTGTGGAAGCACCCTCAGCAGCAAATACAAGCAAACATGGTATTGTGTACATCTGTACAAGCCTTGCACACCTGTTTTGAGGTATTTCTTTGTTTTCAGACGTGTTTTATCATATTTTAGCTGAGGCTTTGGCCACTGAAAGATGTTAAGAGAAAGTTCGAATACACCCATGTCTATGTTAACAGGAAAATTAGCTTTTTACTGACACCTCACATAATGTCATAAATGTATTCACTCTATCCTCACAGCTACTGGCTGGTTTGTAGATGTAGCTAGTTCTGCTGGCTTCCAGAGAGACATCAGAAGAGTGGGAAAATGTGCAAACACAGCGCAGACTGCAATGTTTGTGCATGCTGAGCTCTGAGGGATCAAATGTAACGAGGGTCATCCACCAGTGAAGGCTCCCTGACATTTGTTATGTGATACATCTTAAGATCAAATGTGGTATAAAGTGGTTGTGCTCCTTGTTTTAAAGGAAAACATACTGGAACACGCAGGGAACGCATGTCGGACGGTTCCTCCTCTATCTGAGGGACCTTGGGGTCACAACTTATACCGTGACAATTCTTCACAGAGAATTTTATTGCTCGATTTCTGCTCTGATTTTCTCTATCAATAGTGAAGCCATATAGGATATTTTGTTCCATTCCAAATGATAGTCAGTTTACAAGATTTACCAGAGGTGGAAACGATAACATTTCATGGCTGATCAATGGAAATAGGGGAAGCAAAGGAGATAATTCTAAGTGGCAAAGCGTGTAAATAATAACATGAATTAGTTTTATTTTATATGTAACATAAATGAGTAACAGAATTATTATTATGTTTAAATGTTTTTGTGTTTTAATTTATTTACACAAATGTCATATATATCAAGTTTTCACATTATGCAATTTGTTGTTCAATAATTCCTGAGAAAAATCGAATTTAATTATACACATATATATATATATATATATATATATATATATATATATATATATATATATATATATATATATATATATATATATATAGATAGATAGATAGATTGTGTTCTTTACTCTTCTTTAAAACTTTAAAGGTATATAAATCTTGATGTTTGGAATCAATCATTTGTGATATCAGAATTTGCACAAATTGGTGGTAACTTTACAAGTGTAATCTGGCCTTGTGTTGCTCTTAAGCAAAACTGAACTCTTAATCATCAGTATGTGAATAAGCCCGGTGAAAGAGAACAACTTGCTGCTCAAAGTGTTCGTAATCCTTCCCAGCACTCAGTTTTAATGTGAAAATCAAGCAGCTGCACTCTGGTATGCCTGACAGCTTACTGGCTCTCTACACATCACTGGGCAATCCAGGTGGCACTGCCCAAACAGTGTTTCAAAAACACGTCAGGAGTCTGGAACTTCTTTATACTGGGAAACAAGGTCATGGTGAACGTTTTTAAATATAGACCTTGGTGCCACAGATCTGAACCTGTGCCCAAAAATCCCCTGCAAGAGATCTGATTTACAGAGAGCAGCTACTCCTCTAAAGAGCACAGTGGGCCGGCTGTTGTAGTTACTGTACGAAATCCCTACGGAGTATAAATCAGACAGAGCCTGGATAAATAACAGGGAATTATACTTCACCAAGACTGATAAGGATGAAAGATGGTTTAACTTGCTCTGTCTGGCCTGTTTGACGCGGTCCTTCATTTAACTGAATTAGCCTAATTCCTTTTGTAAGTCAAAATATCATCAAACTAACACAGAGTTAAGCTCAACATTTTTTTAAGCCACAAAACTGTTTTAAAAAAATATTTTACAAATAAAAATTGGAGAAGAGTGGATTGTATTTGTATTTAACCTCCTAAATCAAAGGTTTGGAAAACCGGATATTATTCCATTAAAAGTTTTTGGGAGTTATGTCATTACTAGATTTCAAGATCTAGAGACTGGTGCCAGATCTTTTTTGCAAAGTAGCTCATGCTCAGTATGATTCCTGCTGAAGTAAAGAAACTTTCCAGCCTAATACAGCCACTACCATGTTTTGCCATTATGATGATGGGTGCTCAGTGAGATGTAGCAGGATTTTATTTGTTTTTAGAATGTTACCAAGAATTGATTAATAATGGTCTCATATAAACCTTCATTTACATGAAATCTGTCTTTATACATAGTTTATTAAAATTGCTAAAACAGACGATCCTTTAACTAAAATGTCATCATTTAATTTTTTTTATTTTTCTTTAAAGGCCAGATTCACCTGTGCTTCGGATCTCTACAGTTCCTCCAGAGTTACCAAGATCCTCTTGGCTTATTCTCTAATGAATTTCTTATTTTCCCAGTCTTCCCAGTGACATGTTGGTAGGTTTGCAGTTGTGCTCTATTTTAGGATAACGAATTTGCTGGTGCTCTGTGACTACTTATAAACCTGCATATTTACTGTTTTCTAAGAAACCTGTGAACATGTTTTACATAAACATGTGAACTCTATATGCTTTTATTGCACTGAATTATATTTGGGGTATCAGTGTAAATAGGGCAGAATAAATATTCACATTTTCCGATTTGAAACAAAAATATAAACAACATGTCACTTTTTATGTAAGATAAGATCCCAATAACATTCAATTATAATTGTGTTTGTAACATGACATCATGTAAAAAAAACAAAACAACCTATAAATATCTTTTTAAAGCACTGCAAAGGGCAGATTAAACTCTTGGTTGGCTAAGAGTTAATCAGAAATGACTCATGGGTGGAAACTCAATTAAACTGATAGAATAACGGTATTGTGACTGATGTCATGAAACCAGTTCTGCTAAAGAAAACCGCTTCATGCAAAAGTAATACGGTTTAAAAAACTTTCTGCTGAGCTATAAAAACAGGCATAAATTTTCCTTTGGCTCATGGTCATATTCTGAGTAAACCTAAAGCAGATTTTTCTATGAGAACAACTCTCTGATGCCTTTAAACAATACTGCTCTGAACTCTGGCAGCTGCATTGTAACATATGGCTCATTAGTAACCATTAAAGCCTTATAACCTTATATCCTGCAGCTGCTTTATCACTTTTGCACTTTCTAAAACTGTATAAAAGGATTTAGCAAACAAAACAAAAAGATGCATAAAAAAATTCCCATGGATAAAAGTGTAGAATACGCATCTCTTACTCACAGTTTGAGACTTTCTAATTAAACTTGCTTTTTCCTCCAACCGCCACCTAGAAACAACAAAAAAGACAGTATGAAGTAATGACGTAAATGTCCATCAATTATTTTTGATTTAATTCCAGTTTTTACAAATTGAAAACTCAAAAAAAAGTTGTTTAAAAGAACTTCATTAGACAAATAGGTCCAGTCCAACTCATTCCAGTTCATTCATAAAGGCAGATTCAGTTCCAGCTACTACATCCTATTACATTATTAGTTAATTTGAAGTAAGCTGTAAGACTTTTTTCATTAATTATCACAGAGCATTTATAATTAAGTGTGATTAGATCCCCACAGCTCCTGAAACTGTTACCTGATACTTTTCCAAATAGTCTAAACTTAATTAGATTGAGGATAAAGGTTAGGAGCTGTATGCCCATTGGATGTCTTGAAAGTAAAAAATAAAGCATCGCAGATAGTTTGGTTTCATTCCCTAAAGATCTGCATCTTCTATCACTAGTGAATTTCTCTATTGTGAGATGCTGATGAAGGTTCTCAGTCATCCAGGTCATAGTCATTCTGTAAAAATTCAAAAAATAACCAATATCCAAGATTTGAAGACGTTTCGCCACCTCTCCAGGAAGCTTTCTCAATTCAAATGTCTGGATCCGCAGTGAGTCTGAGTCTTAATATAAACAAAGCCCAGACAAAGACTCAAACTCACTGCGGATCCAGACATTCGAATTGAGAAAGCTTCCTGGAGAGGTGAAGAAACGTCTTCAAATCTTGGAAACCAAGTCCAGTGGATATTTTATGAATTTTTAAGGAATCCATTGTGAGATTAACAAAGTTCTAATCTATTCTATTCAATTATATTCTATTTTCTATAATTTTTGCATATTCTTGGGAGGATTAAAGAGACAAACATTTCTACACTGACAATTATCCTTAAAGACATTGATATAAAGTGTGTCTGTGTTTTACCTTGGCAGGTGTAGAGGCTCTCTTGGTTTCCCACATGCCCCGCTTACCAACTTCACCTGGTTTGGTTTCCTGTGGCATTAAAGAAACACAATAATATTAATTTAAAAACTGGGCCCAAGTAAGAAGGAAGAAACACATTAATTTAATATCTTTGACGACAAAAAAGCTGCCTGCTTCAGATAAATGGGCTTCAAATGCAATATAATTAAGAAACTTTTAACTTCCCCTGTAGATCACTAAGGATCATGCTGGGCTCAATCTAGCAGCCAAAGTATGTATAACATGTGGTTGTTATTTTGGCCTATTAGAAAATTATCAAAAGGTTGTTGTTTTCATCTAAAGAAAATAATGTAGCTACTAACATTAGACTGGAGATTTTTTTTTTTTATGAACTCTGTTACCAATTATTTACATATTACTTACCTATTCTGTTGTCTGTGCTATTATATTGAAATCATATTTTAATGTTAATTTGTTTTAATGTATTTAATTAGCCAATTCTGCTTTCTTTAGCATCTGCTTGATGAAAAACATAAAGAAAATTTTGAGAAAAAAAATACTATTTTGTGTACTTAACCTTTGAATAACAAAGAAATCAAAAATACCACATAAACCTAGAAGTAGTAAATGTCCTCCAGACAGCTGTTTTGCGTTTTTACCATTAGGGGGAAGCATTGCTGTAAAAGCTCCTTCACGCTCAGCCAACGGATCCCACCCTGGTCAACACATTTGACCTCCAAAGCTACTTTGCTCATAAATTGTGCTTTAGAACAATGTGGCACGTCATTCAGAAACACTGCTGTAAGGGGAGATGGTGTGATGTCTCCAGAGAAGCTGGGGGGATTAGCAGCTTGTGTCCTACTTCTGGAACAGAACTCAATGTCCACCAAGTGGTTGTTCAGAAGTGACCCATTTTCTAAACTTACTGAAACAGTTTGGTAATAAGCAAATATGTCTCTCAGTTTCCTATTCCTATTTCCTGTTCATGAGTTTTTCTTTGTTTCTTTTTTTTAGTGCTGTGATGTAGAATGATAGATTTTATGTTTAAAGGAAAGACATTTTAACCTTTAAAAAGAACAAAAACTGATGCACTGTTACTTGGGCAAGTAAGGTATGAAAAGCTTAGTATCAATACATAAATGCTGCCTTAAAGATTTTTACTGTTACATTATTTGCAGTATTTCCCATTTTTTACAAGGACCTTTCACAAAAAGAGCAATTAAAACTTTGACAGGGATTGAGGAACATAAAAGGAGCTGTGATGGATGCTGTTGGCTAAACAGCCCATGTGGGGTCACCAGACTCCTGTCGGCTGCAATGTTCAGTCATGGAGCTCTGATGCAAAAGCTGCAGCTTACAAAAGACTGATATGTTGACATGCAAAGGGAAGAGATTAACATGTACAGAATATCACAGGATTATTGTTACAAAACAACAATGGTGTCTTATTATACTTGTTGCATAAAGACGAGGATTTATTGGGTCTTACTGCTGGCTTTGCAGCTGCTGCTGGTGATTTTGCAGCCGGAGCTGGAGATGGAGCAGGAGCTGGTGTCTTCTCTGCTTCTGCAGGCTTTCCCTTCCGTCCTGTCACACTTCCTTTGATGCCAGTCACTTCCTGCAGGAGGGATTCTCATCTTTAATATATATTCTGATGTCAGACAATGTATCTAATCCTCTCAGAGATCCCATCTCACCTTGTTTTCAGGAGCTGGGCTTTCAGGAGGGCTGCTCACGCTGCCTTTCTCCCACATGCTTTTGATGTTGCGCGTGCCTCCTGTAGGAATATCAGCCAAAGGAGACTTGGGGGATTTTACCTCTTTGTTTCCCTGTGGAATAAAATCATAGTGTTCAATGATTTTATATCCATATGCAGCAATGCAGTGACTGGCAGACAGGAATTGAACGTAGATCTGTCTATACAAACGTTAACCTTGCTAATCAATATTTTTTGTGGCAAGGACGTTGAAGTCCGCCTGCCTATGTTAGACTCTTGAATGGCCAACCAGGATAGGCAGAGTTCTGCATCAGCTGACTTGTGTAACGACGAACGAGTTTCGTAGGGTGAGGCATCGATGTATTAATATATTGTGTTGGGGGAAAAGAAAGTATTCAGCCATGCAATCAAGTTAAATAAAGAAGATAGATGGTAAATCACTCAGGCGGCCTTTTATTATCCTTCTTTGCAAAAAAAAGAATCAGACAATTATAGCAGCCCTTCCAGATCGATGTTCTTCCCTGTTCTCGTTAGAAAAAAATAAAACCTGAGAAAAAATTCTATAATGTTATGAGAAGGATTATCTTTATGCAAAATACTCCCTAGTAGGACAAACAAGTCTTCTCCCTTAGACATCTTGTAGCCTTGCAGCTCTGAGGCCTGAATAAA